ACATTACTAAGGTTATGGATAATAGGTGAATATTGATTATAACTAATCTTTATTAAGTGCTTATCATTTGCCTGGTGCTTTTCTAAATACCCTATGAAGATTCTCAATGAATACTCTTAACAATCCCAGGATAAATACTATTATTTTAATTGTATTATAAATACATACAGCATGGGCACAGAGATTGCTAAGCAACTTGTTGAAGGTCATACAGCTAGCATTCAAACCCAAGTGGTCTCTCTCCAGAGTCTTTAGTTTTAAAGTTATTTTCCTTTCCAGACTCCAAAAGAGAGACAAAGACAGATAACTACAGGTAAAGACAGACAGAGGTTACGCAGTGTGTAAGTGAAAATCCTAAAATCCAATTGGACCAAAAAGTTGTCAAGAAGTCAGCTAGGATGTTGGCATCCTCTTAGTTTGCAGTCAGCAGTCTGGTATTTTCAAGTATCAGTAGAATTTTTCTTTCTTTATTGTTTTTTTTTTATTGTTCAAAAGCTTTATGCAAAGCAGTTAAGCAAGAAAAAGAAAATATAGGTATACAAATTGGAAAGAAGGAGATGAAATTATAATTGTAAACAGATTATTTTGCTTTTATCTCTCCAGAACCAAAGGAAATCTGACTGAAATATAACCACAATTAATAAAATAATTCAGCATATGAAATTAATCAAAACATTCACAGCATTGGTACACTACTAGAACTAGAAAGTACAAAGACTAAAAATCTGCCTTTATGACAGCAATAAATGTAATAAAATATTTAGTCATATAATCAATAATAATTTAGCAAGTTTTATATGTAGAAAAAACTTTCCTATGCTACTGGCAAGACTGGAGGAAATGGCAGCACCATAGTTTAACGTGAGAAGATTCAACATCATAATGACTTCAAATCTCCTTAAGTTAACCTAGAGGTTTCATAAGACCTAACTACAAACAATAAGATTATTTTAGGAATCAGAACAAGTGATTCTAAATTTTAAAATTCTAAAACAAATTTTAGATTTAAAAATTTTAGATTTTAAAATTCTGAAATTCTAAAATAAGCAAGTAATAATTGCCAAGAATTCTCTTGGAATGAATCTAATGAGAGATGTCTCATCCTTCTAGACAAATGGGGACTTTGTGCAAATGAAAGGTAAAGGGCAAAGGCACTGGAGGATTTTTTTTTCCCAAAGTTTCAAAAAATAGACAACTAACATTTATAAATAAAAACAGAAGATACTTTCTTTTTTTTTAATAGGAAGAATTTTCTTTTTTTTTTCATTAAATGATAGCTATGTACATTAATGCAATCATGGGGTACAGTATGGCGTTTTATATACAATTTGAAATATTTTCATCAAACTGGTTAACATAGCCTTTATGTCATTTTCTTAGTTATTGTGTTAAGACATTTATATTCTACTTTTAGAAAGATTCACTAAGAAGATACTTTCAAGAAAACATCATACCAAATCTTACAGACAATAGAAAAAGGAGAATACTTCAAATTCATTCTACTTCATCTGGATATAGCTGATATTAAAATTGGAAAAAAATATATTGGTATAAAGGGAAATTACAACCATATTTCACTTATAAATGAGGAGCGAGCAGACAGAGAGAGAAAGAGGAAGTGGTGGGGGAAAGGAAAAGAAAAAAAATTGCTTGCATTTGTGTGTGTGTGCGTGTGGGTGTACGTGTGTGTGTGTGCATTCTTTCTTGCGAGACCCTTTATGAAATTCTCAGAAGGGTCCTGATTAAAACAAGGTTAAGAAGCACCATAACATTGCTCTTTTTCAAAATCCTGAACCCTCTGTCAGCCATGCCTAGGCTGACCTAAAAGGGTAAGTGTCTAAAATGCACATTTGAATACATATTCTTCTTTTTCTTTATTGTTGGGGATTAATTGAGGGTAACAAGAAACCAGGTTACAATGATTGCATTTGTTAGATAAAGTCCCTCTTACAATTGTGTTTTATCCCCAAAAGGTGTGTCACACACTGAGACCCCACATCCTCTCTCCTTCCCTCTTTCTGCTTTTCCCTTCTCCCATCCCCCTCTCTCCTTCCCTCTCTTTGCTCTCCCCTTCCCCCACCCCCCACTGTGTGCTAGGTCATTAATTGTCCTCATATCAAAATTGAGTACATAGAATTTTTGCTTCATTCTTGTGAAGCTTTACTAAGAATAATGTGTCCCACTTCTATCCGGGTTAATACAAAGGAGGTAAAGTCTACATCTTTTTTTTAATGGCTGAATAGTATTCCATGGTATACATATATGACAGCTTGTTAATCCATTCCTGGGTTGGTGGGAATTTAGGCTGTTTCCACATTTTGGTAATTGTAAATTGAGCTGCGATAAACTGTCTAGTGCAAGTGTCCTTGTGATAAAAGAATTTTTTTTTTTCGTTCGGGTAGATGTCCAGTAATGGGATTGCAGGATCAAATGGGAAGTCTAGCTTGAGTTCTTTGAGGGTTCTCCATACTTCCTTCCAAAAAGGTTGCATTAGTTTGCAATCCCACCAGCAGTGTAGAAGTGTTCCTTTCTTTCCACATCCACACCAGCATCTGCAGTTTGAGATTTTGTGATGTGAGCCATTCTAGCTGGGGTTAGATGGTATCTCAGGGTGGTTTTGAATTGTATTTCTCTAATAATTAGGGATGATGAGCCTTTTTTCATGTTTCCTAGCCATTTGTCTATCTTCTTGAGAAGTTTCTACTCATCTCTCTTGCCCATTGATATATGGCATTATTGACTTTTTCATGTGGATTAATTTGAGTTCTCTACAGATTCTGGTTATTAAGCTTTTGTCTGATTCAAAATATGTAAATATCCTTTCCCATTGTGTAGGTTGTCTATTTGCTTTGGTTGTTGTCTCCTTACCTGTACAGAAGCTTTTCAGTTTAATTAAGTCCCATTTGTTTATTTTTGTTGTTGTTGAGATTGCTGTGGAGGTCTTCCTCATAAAGTCCTCTAGACCAATATATATTCTTAAAGATAACAGCATGAAATTGATTGCATGGTACTAAGATTTTAATCTCAGTGTTTGTCACTGGAAGCAGTAGGCATTAATGTCTAGAATGCCCCATAGATCGATATAGGCCTTACTTGGAGTTATACTGAGAAATGTAGTTGCTGCTAACTCAACTTGGAGTTATTAGAGCAGCCACATAGTGGCATAGAATGAAGAGAATGAGGGTTCCGTATCGAGGAGCGGGGAAACAAGTCCAGATAAGTTTTTAATACCAGGGGCACTGGCTTAACTAATCTAAACAATGTTTGAACTTGTCTATGGAAAATTCCTTATGGATGAATTTCATCTCGCTGAACCATGTGTTGATTGTAAAACTTGCAATTTTAAGAGATTATTCTGTTCCCTAAGAGGAGAAAACTGGATCTCAGAATCCTTTTCCAGATTCACCTTGAGAAAGAAAAATCTAATTGCAGTAAACAACAAGGTGAAGGAAAACGGTCTGAGTAAATGAGATCGGCAAGAGGAAGACTTAGAATGTTTCTGAAAAGGGATTAAAACAACTCTTCTCTTGCTCTTGGGCATTCATTTTCTACACTTCTGTAAAACATTACCACAAACTTAGTGGTTTAAAATAACATATATTTGGCTGGGCGCCTGTAGCTCAGTGGTTAGGGTGCTGGCCGCAAGCTCTGAGGCTGGTGGGTTCGAACCTGGCCTGGGCCTGCTAAACAGACAAGCCAAAGAAGCAATAGCCATGCCTTGTGGTGGGCACCTGTAGTCCCAGTTACTAGGGAGTCTGAGGCAAGAGAATCGCTTAAGCCCAAGAGTTAGAGGGTGCTGTTAGCTGTGATGCTGCAGCACTCTACTGAGAATGATAAAGTGAGACTCTGTCTCAATTAAAAAATAATAACACATTTATTATTCAATCATTCTATAGGTCAGAAGTCAAACATATGTCCCACTCAGCTAAAACCAAGGCTTTAGAAATTATTTTCTGCAATCCTTTCTGGAATTTCTGGGGAAATCTCTATTCTCTTGTTTTTTGCACCTTCTGAAGGATGATCACATTGCTTCATGTCCTGTTCCCTCTCTTGTTAAAAACCAACATGTCCAGTCCTTCTCCTGCTGCCATCTCTTTGGTTTTCTGCATCTGGGAAAGGTTCTTCACTTTGAATTACTCATGGGATAGGATTTAGCCTACCTGAATAATCCAGGGAAAGTTCTTTATCTCAAG